TTTAGAATTTTTGTCTGTCTGTCTGTGAGCGCATCACGAGAAAACCTGGACAGATTTTGATGTTTGGTATGATAATAGCTGGTTATCTGGGTCAACATTTTAACAGCAAGTAATTTTTATAGCGGGAAAATATCTTATCCCTGAGAAATCTGTACTAACCGTTATGGTTGTAATTGACGGAAATTGGTCTGTGAATAAATTGAAAATACATAAATAAATTGAGACGATAGGGTTAAATTTGTACAAATAAAATATTATGATAACAAGAACATTATATTGTACTAGCGACTCACCCTCGTTCTGCTCGCATTCGCCCTTAGATTCGTTTTAACGGTTAATATATATTTCTTAGAGATGAGTTATTTTCCAGCAGTAAAAAGTATCCTATGTGTTGACCCGAATAACCAGCTATCATCATACCAAATTTCATCAAAATCTGTCTAGTCTTTTTCTCGTGATGCGTTCCCAGACAGACAGACAGACAGACAGACAGACAGACAAAAGTTCTAAAAACTATAGATACGACCTCTGTATCGATCATAATGGCTATTTCAAATAAGATTTTCCAAAAAATATTTAATGTACAGATTCGACTCAGAATTTTATTACATCTATAGATTTATACTACATACTATTTTTGGAAAACCCTAGTTCACTATATCTTGAGATATTATTTTTCGTTATTTTCTTAGTCGACTCTAAATAGGTTAAATAAATACCTCGTATAATTAATACTTCATCAAAGCAATACGATACGATAATCAAAGTTACAGAAAGAATATACTGCGTAGGATCAAGGAGGAAATATGAAGATTTTTTTCTTTACCTTTTTCCTTACAACACTTTTTTCCCTTACAAAAAAAATAAGTATTAGAACAGTGACAAAGCTAACAATCTAAGCTTTATTAAAACCCATCACAACATTAAGCATTCTGATAAGAAAAGAAATAAGTGATTAGTATGAAATAATTAAAATATAGGTATATTAAACTGTTATAATTTTAAGGCAGTGGAAGCTGAATGATAACGCGTAAAATAAAAACCAAGTAAATCGAGCTTAAATACCAGGTCTTATATTTCTGATATTTCCATGTGCGAATCATTTTCAAAATTATATTCATTTATTTTACGGTGAAGGAAAATATCGTGAGGCAAACTGTATATCTGAAAGAATCATGCAAGTTCTCGAAAGACGTGTAAAGTCCGCCAACCCGCACTTGGTCAGCGTGGTGGTCTATGGCTCAATCCCTCTCATATTTAAGGGAGGCCTATGGCTAGCGGCGGGATGTTAAAGGGTTAAATGCATACATATTAGTTCGTATTCTAAACGAATAATTAAAAACAAACAGGCTTATGACTCGTGTAATATATGAGACACGCTAAAACGGGACATATTTCACCATACTATGGTTCTAATATCATAATTTTATCTAAATGTTATCCAATTACTGTATTATAATGCATTGCCGAATCTGTACAATAAATATTTTTCTGGAAAATCTTACTGAAATAGATACAGAGGCTATATAGTTAGATACTACAATTTTTAGAATTTTTTCTGTCTCTCTGTCTGTGTGTCTGAGAATGCATCACGAGAAAACTACTGGACGGATTTTGATGAAATTTGGCATGGTCATAACTGGTTATTGTTTGTCGTGATCATCTGAACGCGGATGGAGCCGCGGGCAATGCTAGTAGTAGAATAAAAGTCTGTTTATATACATATAAGTGAGCCTAGTGTTCAAAATACCCACTCTTACATACAAATCCTTAAACGCCAAGCACGTAACTATTTCAATTCAGCACAAAATGCTTTCTTTGCTGATTCCGAGAGGTTGTAATATTCATAACTTATTATCCCACAGTACATTGAAAATATGCTTTACACCTTTAAAAATAAGATTGGTTAGAGGACGTGTGTCGGGCTATTCGCTAGTCCTTACCTCTTTCATCTGCGTCCTTTTAACCGGAGGCTGTAATTATAGCTAACGTACCCTAGGGATGTTTATATTTCAGAGATCTCTGCGTTAAAAAAATGAGAAACTTTTATAACAAAGGCGGTTTTCCTTTTGTTTATTAATTGCTACCATTGAATGCGGATTTCTTGTACAAATCTAGCTTTTTTTAACCGTGTGTTTATGTATAATTGTACCACTGCGTTGGTTTTAACTGTTTTTATTTATTCGCTGGTCCTGAAGTCGATTATCTGGACATGTTGCTCATACCTAGTTTTAGCAAACGGTAATCGATAGTTATAACTTTAGTGAGTATCGATATTTACTTGGTTAGTATTATATTAAAAGTTTGTTTTATAGGGATGTTCGGATATTTATTACCAACCCAATTATGCTTCTATTTTAATAATCTAAAAGAGATAAAAGGAACAGACGAGCGAAGCCGCCGGCAGAGGCTGCTATAATAACCAGGAAACCAAAAAATTGATTTCTAAACTCTGTCAATGGAATAAATAGTATTAAACATATAACACTATCTCACTCGTTTAATAAATTCTTTTATGTATACTAATATTATAAAGAGGAAAGATTTGTTTTTTTTTGTTTGTTTGTTTGCACTGAATAGGCTCCGAAACTACTGGACCGATTTAGATGAAATTTGGTAAGAAGATAGTTTGAGACTCTGGGAAGGACATAGTTTTCTCCCGAAAATAACCTATTAGGGGGTGAAAGTGGGGATGAAAGTTTGTATGGGGAATTGATATAGGGACGAACTCGAGCGAAGCGAGGGTGAGCGCTAGTGTAGAATATTTTAAAAACACTACCTACATTTTATGATATAACAAATTTTATAGTAGCGCTTGTTAGACATCATTAACATTGTAAAGTACCTGAAATATATAAACATGTATTATAAAGAAAAGTGTTTGTTAAAGTTACTTTATTATACTTTTTATGGAATAAAGTTATAGGTACTTATAATGATAATAATTATGTGCTACTCCAGGTCATATATAGTCTATCTGTGTACTAAATTTTATCCAAATTCGTTCAGCCGTTACAGCGTGAAGAAGTAACAAACAAACATACATACCAACATAATATAAACTTTTGCATTTATATAACAGTAATAATAACCATTTATGTAATATATATTATAATTGAAAGACAAATATTTTTAAATATTTATTATTATTTTTTAAAAGTTAGCCTAAAATGCGCAGAGTGCAGTTAATATTTGAGCGAAGCGAGGGCGCGATGCAATTAAGAATATAACGCGATATAATTTAGAATATAACGCTATATAATAAAGAATATACATCGCTTACACCGTGCTCTACATTCTTAAAATCCTTACTTTACGGAACCCTTGATTGCCTTCAAAAGCTTCCTTTCCCGCGAAGATTTTTCACCTTTTATACTGCAAGCTATAAGCTTCAGTTCCTCTCATTTTACTAAGGAAAATACAAAATTTTCGTCGTAGCGTTTTCCGTAAGAAGTTATCTATCTATCTATACATATAATAATATTCTGAGTCGAATCTGTACATTGAATATTTTTGGAACATCTTATTGAAATAGTTATTATTATCGATACAGGGGCCGAATCTATAGTTTTTATAATTTTTGTCTGTCTGTTTATCTGTCTGGGAACGCATCACGAGAAAACCACACGACCGATTTTGATGTTTTTTTATGATGATAGCTGGTTATTCGAGTCAACATAAAGGGTACTTTTTACTGCGGGAAAATATCTCATCTCTGAGAAATCTATACTAAACGTTAAAACGTAACAAGGGGCAAACCCGAGCGAAGCCTGGGTGAGTAGTATAAGATATATACAAGTTATGACTTTATGAGTATTCAATTGACATTATCTTAAGTAAACAAGATAACGTTATCACTTAAGATACAAAACTTAGCTTAATCACAGAAAATAATTATGTTTTGATCCGATGTTTATTTTTTGCGGCTTTATTGTTGTTTAAAATAACTTGAAAAAACCAACTTTCAGGCACTAAAAAGTAAAAAAATGTTTAGTTAAACGAGGGTTTTCATTTAGAAGATATACCTAATCAGATATTTTCTAATTCGGTGCCAGCCGATGCAAAGCAAATCTAATATATTTAAATTAAATATACGTAAAATACATATTTCCCTATTAGATATTCATTTCTTAAAATTTTGTCGTCTCCTCCTTTTTGGAAGACGGTTAAAAAGGATTGTCATTCATATGTAATTTATGATTAATAGGTTAAATTCTCTTTAATTACCATCGTGGAGGAGTTACAATGTCAATGTGACCGTTTACTGTTTAGAACGTATATGTACATATATATGTGTTATGTAAATAATCAAGTAATAGAGGAATAAATATAAGAGGGTAATAGAAAGTTTATGTAAATAGCTGATAAGAACAATATTATAATACCACTTATTACATACAACTTTGTCTCTATAATTTGAAATAAAATATGATCCACTTGATTTATATGAGAGCTCGCAGGATAAGAAAACTAAAATACAAGTTGGATCGATCGATATATATATATATATATATAATATTTTTTTTATTTACCAGGTGTTGATTGAGCTTTTAAGCATGGAGATGATAAAATTATTAAAACTACTAGCAGCTCGTACGTTTAAAATAGATATAGGTATATAGTTATTAGCCAGCGTTAGCCATATAAATTTTATTTTTTTCCTTAATTTTTCTGATGTTTTAATATTTATGTATTATCCTATTCCGGACTAAGAGAAATCCAACAAATCAAATATCATTAAAATTGGTCCGGCCGTTCTTGAGTTATAAATGGTGTAGCTAACAGTGTTTTTTTCGTCACAGACAGAAAACTAATTCAATCGTATTTTAGTGATATGGAATTTTGTACAAAACAAAAGAAATATTATAAATTTCTAACGTGATATTGTTAAAAGTATAAGTCCTTTTATTACAAAATTTTTATATTTTTTGTTTTAGACGAGCATTGCACTGTTTACATATATTATTATTATAATTTCTGGAAATTAAATTACTATTATAATGCTAAATGCAAAAGTTTGTGTGTGTTTGTGTGTATATGTTTGCGACTTTTTCTCAGAAACGGCTGGACAGATTTGGATGTACAAGTAAAACACACTATTTAAATAATATATAGGGAATAGAAAGACTATCTAAACTGACAAATAGGCAACTGCTAGTTCTAAAATTTGGTTAAAAGTAGAGCTGCCTATTTAACGAATAATATCTGTATAAATATTATAAATGTGAAAGTTGGTGAGGCAGTATGGATGTATGTTACTCTTTCACGCCGGAACGGCTGAATGGATCTGGATGAAATTTGGCACAGAGATAGATTATAGTCTGAAATAACACATAGGTATTAAAATCCCGGAAAAATATATGGATCCCGAGGGATAGATTTGTTTATGTTTTTCTAGAGGTGAATCCGAGCAAAGCGAACGTTAGCCACTAGTTATTATAATAATTTACAAAATTAAAAAAACTGACTGCGTAAAAAACGAACTAAAAAGATGAGGACAACTTTACGAATTAATATAGTATTATGTACAAGAATATATGTATATACCCTAAGACATTCGCGTTATCAAGACGATTCGAATAATGTTTAAATTACCAAAATCGGTTAAGCCCTTTAGTCATTACGCGGGAACATAGAATAGGACAAACATACATACATACCCGTACAGGTCAACCACATCACCTTCCTTTGCGCTTTGCCGCAGTCGGGTAGATACAAAAAATACTACTATAGCACCCGAACGAAGCAAGGGTAAGGCGCTTTATAACATATAAGTTTTAGTTAACGATGTCCCCAGTTATACTTGAGTACTTTTCTATTTGTTTGTGAGAGATTTAGTGTGAGGCCCTCACGAAATTCTTCAGTTTCGTGTTTTATTATGCTTAGTGTCTTTTTTATAATACATAAGTTTTTTTTATAAATAAATAATATTAATGTTGTTTTTTTTAGAAATTTAAAGATAGAAAGATATTAGTAATGTAAGAACACAAAATAATTTCTTCAAAAATTTGACTGTCAGATAATAATCTCCATTGGAAAACGGTTTTTTTTGCTTAATAGCTATTGACTTGTTATCAATTTAAAAAAAATAAACAGTTATTTTCATATATAATTAGATAAATTCTACTCATATTATAATATGTTTTCTTCAAATTTTCAAAAATGGTTCCGATTCAATATTGACCACTGGGCGAACACTAGTAATTTATAAGCTAAACTAGCGGCTCACCTTCGCTTCGCTCGGGCTCTCCTAGAAAAGCACAAACAGATCTATCCCACGGGAACTCTTTAATTTTCCGGCAGAAAAGTATCTGAAATGTTGACCGGGGATATAAGGTATCATCATGCAAAATTTCATTTAAATTGGTCCTACAGTTTCGGAGACTAGCCCATACAAACAGACAAACAGACAGAGAAACCCAAAAATTGAAAAAAAATGGTTTTGTTCTACTCTTCTGACATCCACCTAACTGGGTTGATAGCATTTTTTTTATGTGCAGACATTCGACCTCTACAATTTTATTATATGTATTTATAGTATTTAACATCCCTTTGAGAATGTATTAAGACCCTTTATCATGGCACTTAAATAAGTAGTCATTATAAATTGTTATCACTTTTCAACTAGTTTAACCATTAAATACGTGTATGTTGGATAAATTTTAATTGTTATACAACTTTATTTTGTTTTTTTTCTTTATCTGTGTATCTATTTGTAGAATACTGTGAATATAATGTACGTCATGTCCATTCATAAACTACATACATATTAAGATTATTTTGACAGAAATCGTATTCTTTTTTGTACATAAACATAATTATAAATATTTACACATTTTTTTCTGTGTGTAATACATATATTTTTAGATTAGATTAACAATGAAATTTATTATAGATACATACTAGCATTGCCCGCGGCTCCGCCCGCATTCAGATTAGCAAAAACCAAATTCTTAGGTTTTACATATTTGTATACTTTTACACTGCAGTTTTTATATTTTTTCTCAGACATGAGACATTTTCCCGCGATAAAAAGTATCCTATATGTTGACCCGGATAACCAGCTATCATCATACCAAATTTCATCAAAAACTGTCCGGTGGTTTTCTCGTGATGCGGTAACAGACAGACAGACAGAGAGACAAAAATTCTAAAAACTATAGATTCGGCTTCTGTATCGATAATAATGTTTATTTCAATGAGATTTTCCAAAAAAATATTTAATGTACAGATTCGGCTTAGTTACAATTTTATTATATGTATAGATGTTATAAAATTCATTATTCATGGCCATCCAACTTGCAGCCATGCTTCATAAATCATATATTTGCTCGTATATATATATATATATTACTTAGAAAATTATTCTGTTGCATTTTATCTGCTAAGTTCGAAAATGATAGTGCTATACACGGTTTTCACACTTATTTGTGCTTCATTATGTTTGTTGTATTATTACACAATAAAAAATTACAATTATTGGAAAAAAAGAAATGTACCATATCTCAAGCCTGTACTATTTTTCGGAAATTATCGTGAATATATATTATTCAGAAAGTATGGACCCCAAGTTGCTCAGGAAATTTGTCAAAAGTTCCCAAACGAACCTTACGTCGGTGTATATTATGGAACGGACCCAGCTTTGATCGTAAAGGATCCTAATATTATCAAGCTAGTGATGACCAAGGATTTCTATTACTTTAACCATAGAGAAGTAGCAAATTATACCCATAAAGAATTAATAACCCAAAATATGTTCTTCACAGGCGGCGACAGGTGGAAAGTATTACGACAAAATCTTACATCATTATTTTCATCTTCAAAACTCAAAAACATGTTTTATTTAATAGAAAATTGTGCAACAAACTTAGAAGAAGTATTAAACTACGAGGTAAAATTAAATAAAACACTCGAAACCAAGTCTATTTTAGCAAGGTTTACAATGGATTGCATAGGATCATGTGTTTTTGGTGTGAATACGGGTACATTAGAAAAAAATTCAAGAAACAACCCGTTTACAATTTTGGGGGAAAAGTTGTTTGACAACTCAAATTATGGAGGATTTAGACTTATTTCACGTGCAATGTGGCCAGCAATTTTCTACAAATTAAGGTTTCAACTGTTTGAAAGCAGTGTTGATGACTTTTTCATTCAACTTCTTACTGATGTGTTTAAAAGTCGTAATTATAAGACATCATCGAGACAGGATTTTGTTGATCTATTTTTGACTTGGAAGAAAAAAGATTGTTTAGTTGGAGATAAAATTTCTAACATGATAACAGACGAGAAAAAAACAATGGAAATAAAAGTCGATGAAAAATTACTGGTAGGTCTGAGTGCGATGCTGTTTGCAGCTGGCTACGATACAACATCTACTACGACTAGTCATTTACTTTTTGAGCTCGCGAAACAGAAAGAAGTCCAATCGAAAGTAATTAAGGAAGTAGACAATTATTTTCAAAAACACGACGGTAAATTAGATTTTGATTGCATTAACGAAATGCCATTCCTTCAAGCTTGTATGGACGAGACCTTACGACTTTATCCAGTTTTGGGAACTCTTACACGAGAAGTAGAAGCAGAATATACTTTACCAACAGGTCTTCGGCTCAACAAAGGGATGCGTATTCATATACCAGTATATTATCTCCATCACAACGAAGAGTATTTCCCAGAACCTGAGAAATTCCGACCTGAACGTTTCTTTGGGGATGAAAAGAAAAACATCAAACAATTCACATATATGCCGTTTGGAGAAGGGCCAAGGATATGCATGGGTATTATTTATTTTCTTAACTAATTAAATTATTCAGTCAGTTGATCCTCTTTGGATAAGTTATGGATTAGATTTCCACTATTGGTTTATATTATTATGGGCAAATTAATTACCTTAAACTATTTGCGCGTATACATACTATGTATTTACCTGTACATTCAACCCTCCTGTAAGTAATTTATATAATTTGAATCATCAGCAAAGTTTACAACTGACTTTATAACCAAAGAAAAATATATTTAAAGGCAACCCCTAATTTGATTTTTTTAATTTAAATTTGCAGCTTCGTGTATGCGGTACAGTAAGTATTATTCTGGCAAAGATAACATCTTCTACCTTAAAGAATACTTAAAATATTTAATCATCATCATGTAATTGCGTTGTTTTTATGAATAAAACGCAATAACATAAAGATAGAATTATAAATCTACGTATATCTATTAGAGCATGTAATTAAACTAATGCTGTCACGCAATAGATAAGAAAGGTTATGTGTTTTACACGCGTTTCACTTGAAACGCGTAGTTTTTATCTCAAGAGAGATCGATAATATTATTTCCTGTATTGCAATATTGTAAACATTGTCATTTTAGTATCAAAACCCTGAGAAAACTGTAACATAAAATAAGTACATTTAAAAAAAAGCAAGTACTCATACATTTTATTATTATTTTCCATTATTATTACAGTTATGTTTGGACATTGAACCCTATATCTTTTATCAATTATATTATATATATACTAGCGACTCATCCTCGCCTAGCTTCGGGTTCGTCCCAAAACAAAAACAAATCTATCAAACGGGAACCGGACGTTTTTCCTGAATGATATACCTATAGCCTATAGCCTACCTCAATAAACCAGCTATCTAGAGAAAAAAAAATTTTCCATTCGGATTAAAAGTTCCTGAGATTAGCGCGTTCAACCAAACAAACTCTGCCTCTTTATAATATTTGTAAAGATTATAGTCCATAGAAGCTGCCATAATACACTTCGTATTACTAAGCAAACTTTATCTTAAAACTTTAGCTTATCCGGTTTGTTTTTAGTACAACATTAGTATGACACCTCAACAATACTATTGCCTATATACATTTTACTATCTCTTTTTACCTCTATAAGGATATATAATATAAAAGAATGCTCCATAAAGGTTACTTCTTTTGTTATAGAATATTAAAATTTCAACGGCTTATTCTGGGTTATGAATTACACAAGACAAGCCACTTTATTTAATATGTTAATAGATTCATCAGACGTATACCTAACACGATATTAGTCATTTTGGAGGAACAAAAGTTACAGTTTAATTAAAAACGAAATAACATGCTTTTGTTGCCATCACACTTTATACACCTCCTGTCTTCATCATCCGACTTTCATCCGCTAGTATATTGTGTTAAACTCGTAAAAAAGTTTGTTGAGTAATGAAACATGTCGGATATCTTATTTAATATGTTTTAAAATTAAGACTTATAAGTAGATATAGACTTGTTTCTTTCTTTTATTTATTATATAAAAAATCGTTACACATTAACAAAATACACTAAATATTAATATTTTCATTACCATGTTAATATTATTGTTATCTGTTTCTTATTCACAGGTCTTCGTTTCGCAAAGATGCCAATGACAGCCGCAATTATGACGGTTCTCAAGAAATATCGAGTTCAATTAGCAGATAAAATGCCTACAAGTTTGAAGTTTGAGCCAAGATGTATAGTTACTCAGCCAGTAGGTGGTGTTCATTTGGAGTTCATACCACGTGATACATAACTAAAATGATTGATATTTGAACAAAGTAATAGTAATATTATATGTAGCAAAATTAATAAGTTGTTTATTATTTTCATCCCCTTAATGGATGATTTCCGGGATAAAACTATCCTATGTCCTTTCCAGGGTCACAAAACATCTACTTACCGAATTTCATCTAAATCGGTTCAGTAGTTTCGGAGCTTATTCGGTACAAACAAACAAATAAAAAAATATTTCCTCTTTATAATATTAGTATAGATATAGTCTAAATCGCAATATCTATCTGTATATACCAAACTAATGTTTCTAAATTAGCGGGATACATATCTACAATGTATAAAGTATTTAGATTTAAAAACCTTGATATAAATAATAAAAACTTAAGTACCTATTTTAAAATATTTCTTTACTATTTAAAAGAAAAGACAATTAAGTTCAAATACTTTAATAAATTAAGGCTCATTTTGCAGTTTTCACGATTTTAAACCAAGAGAAATGGTCTTTTATTAAGGAGTAAGATTAAAAGAAACTCCTGAATATTTATAGCTTAACGCCTAATTTGCACAATATTAATTCTGGCTGTATAAACGAAACCGTTATAACTGTTGGTATAACGACATCTTAAGATAATTATTACGGTGGTTAAAACTTATGCTTAAAACTAGTATACTACTTGCCTGACTAGACAGACATGTTATATTTTACCTAAAATGGCCGCCACGAACAAATGGATAATTAAATTATTTACTATGATTTTATTTCAACACTTGTGTTATGTACAGTCTGTGTATTATGTAGTCTTAAACTAATAATAAGGCAGAAAGAAAACCTATTAAAACAGCCCATCTAATTTTACGTAAAAAAACACACCTGTTTAACTTTTGTGACATTTCAAATATTTGCCAATCATATTGTACCAAAAATATTTCAGTCATATCTATACTAATATAATAAAACTGAAATTAGAATTCCAAGTTTGTCTGTTTTTTTTTTGTTGGAATATGCGAAACTCTAGAATAATTAATCGGACTTGATAAGGTTGCGATTCTTAGGATCGAAAGAGTTATAGGTACATACCTACTAAACTACGCATGTGAAGTCACCGTTAAAGCTAGTGAATAAAATTTTAGAATTTTCTTTTGTGTCTTCCTACGAATCTTTGGTTATACTAACCGTTGTATAATAAATGAAGAACTTACATAAAATGCTAATTTTATAGAGACTCGTGGCCCAGTGATATTATACGTAGTTCCGGTTCAAGCGTTGGTTTTATATATTTTTACTAGCTATGCTTATATATAGTTTCTTCGCACCTAAGAGTCGAAACGTGATGTTAGATAGCCTATGACCTTCTTCATTAATAGGCATTAAAATGCAAAATGTTTTTATCTTATCTGGTCAGAAGTTTAAAAAGAAAGAAGAATGTTCGCCCAAAGAATCAGCATTACCATTCAGCAAAGGAATATAGGTTTTTTTCACTGTAAGGCAATCATGTTGGAAATGATTTGCACATGAAAATCTCAGAGATGCAAGACCCGAGACTTGAACCCGCTTCGTTGGTTTCCTAAGCGAGCGCGTTACCACTGGGCTACCACTGCTTTTTGTAAATATAATTAAGCATACTTGTGCCCTTCTTTTGTAAATAAAGAATATATTTTGGTCATTAAAAATATAAGATGCACGAGTAAGTGCAGTAGTGAAAAATCCTAAGTACTTAACAAGAAACAAGACTAGTTTAAAACAGCTTAAACTTATAACTCCTGTATAACACGCACTCACCTGCATGATGCGACGATATATTGCCATACTAATAGATTATGACAAAGTTGAAGTAACTTTCTCAACGGAAACTCGTAAGTTCAAATCTTTTGATATTTTATTGGATTACTGTACATCACATTTACAATACTAGTTTATATATATATATATATATATATATATATATATATGCTTGTATATATATATATATACAAGCAGAACCCTCGGCTATATATATATATATATATATATATATATACAAGCAGAACCCGCGGCTATATATATATATATATATATGGCGAAAATTAACAACAACATCTATATTGCCAATGTCAACATTGATGTGAGATTGACCCAATGGAGTTATTAATAACGCTACCTTACAAAATATGATTTTTACAATTACTTACAAACTTTCACTCTGTGTGGAAATCGAACCCGTGGTTTCTTATATAGACAGCAGAACTAGTCTAGTACAATATACCGAGATTGTTGTCAAAAGAAAAATTAATTAAATTACAAATCTTAAGCAACAAAATCTCTTACTATACATAGTTTCTTTAACTTTTATAAAGGAAGAAAGGTGAAAAATCACGTCATCTGTCGCAGTAAATCTTAGCAGCGAACGAGATAAAATGAAACAATGCGCCGTCCGTGTCCCTAATTGTATACTCTTGTTGAGGGTTTTCAGAAATAAAAATGCTAGAAGTGAAATAAAAAAAGTGTTATCCTCACTCATCGCGCTAATTTATACGTATATAAATAGGTAAAGACAAAACAGTTCCTTGTGCTGCTCTGTTTATTAACCGACTTTTTTTATTTAATAGCTATAAATGAGTTTCTGTGTTATCAATAAAAAAAACTAATAGTTTTTCGTATATGCTTTTCCTCTGATTATGTCCGAATTTCGAGCACTGGGCGAACACACTGGTGTTACAAACGCGAAATAGTCCGTGCTTGTTACTTTTTTACGGTGTCTCGGCTTATGGGATTTGAGTGGAATTTGAAATGCTTATATTCTTAGAAGCAACACATAGGCTTCTTTTAACCGTCTATCTGCTACGAGTTAACGCTCGATTGAAAATAAGTAAATGGGCTACTATTATAAATACAAAAGTTAAAATTTGTGCATACGCGTGTGCGTGCGTGTGTACGTTCGTGGTGCGTGGGTGTGGGTGTGTGTGTTTGTGTGTGTGTTTGATTTTGATTGAACATGATATTGTATGCAAGATTTAGCATTCACAAAGCGAGCTCAATTAGAACATGTTGCCTTGAACGTTATAGAAATTAGATTGATCAGTATCAAGTGGTCCAATTCTCTATTCAAAATTGATTCTACAGGGACTAACGTTTCGAAGACAAAGCTATAGCAAATATGTACATATTATGTATGGATTTGAATTTACCATTGATTGGTTTGATGTAACAGATCAAAGCGTTTTTATTTAATTCGAAAATTTCGTTTTAATTTATGTCAAAACTATAATAAATTTTATGTAAAATTTTCGATATTAATACTAAGAATGGTATTAAAATTTTAATAAAATAAAATTGTAACAAACTTATTCGTTCTAGTTGTTTGTTTAATCATACATCACTTAAATGCAACTTACAGATTTTGTTTTAAAACTCAATGAATACTAATGTTCGTCGAGTGAAAATTGAAATTTATTTATACATGAATAGAATTTAACTAGAAATCGAAAACGTCAAAACAAAATTTATGGTATAATAAAAATTTATTTTAAAATATATCCGAAAATAACATGAAAAATTTATGTAATAGCATAAAAAATGTTTTAAAAGACAACAAAATTGAAAGTGAATAATAATTACAAGACTTCCGCGACACCATTCAGACAAAGAGAGACAATAGCATTCCCAAGGAGGGTTGACGTCAGGCGGCCGGTCGTAAAACTTTTGCCAAATCCTATCAGCAGTACAGAAGATGTACTGCACCGACCCCAAGTGATTGGGAAATGGGCAGGAAGAAGAAATGAATAGAATTTAACTATAGACTATAAAGAATATATTTACTATTTCAAAAAATTTTATTGATCAAAGCTCCTCAATAGCCAAAACAATGGTAGAAAAACAGAGGGGAAAAAGATACTGATTTTGTTTATTTTTATACAGATTATGTCAAAGAAAGTAATAAAAACCTTTTTAACACCCGAAAGTAATGGATGTTGAAAGTTTTTCACTTTTAACAAACTATTGTGTTTGCGTGTTTTCTTATGACAAAGTCGCTTGAAAATAAACGACCGATTTAAGTTTTTGACTGACTTCAAAAAAAGGAAATAATTAAAAATATTTTTTAATAAGTGGTTTATACCAAAAAATTTAATATATAAAATAAAATAAAAAATACTAAGGGTTTATTTGAAGTGATATTTCGTAGTCGGTGTCTTTTATTGGTTAACAAGTAGGTAATTAATTTTAAATCTATACATATAATAAAATTCTAACTGAATTTAATCTGTACATTAAATATTTGTTGGAAAATCTTATTGAAATATACATTATTATCGATACAGAGGCCGAATTTATAGTTTTTTGAATTTCTGTCTGTCTGTCTATCTGTGAACGCATCACGAGAAAACTACTCGACAGATTTTGATGAAATTTTGAATGATGATAGCTGGTTATCCGTGTAAACATAAAGGATACTTTTAACGCAGAAAAATATCTCATCTCTGAAAAAACTACACTAAACGTTAAAACGTAAGTAGAGTCGAATTCGAGCGAGGGTGAACCGCTAATTAAATATATGTATATAATTCGTCAAAGTTTCATAGCATCTCATAGCTCCTATATCTTAAGTATATTTAAGTAACGCTTTCATCAAAACCCAACGATAGTCATATATATGTTAATTTATAATACACAACGACAATCAAGCCAGTAACTGGTTCATGCTACGCGTAATTGGAACTTATAACCGATGCTCTCTCGATTAACTCATGCAAATTGTTATTAGGATAGCATTGGACATTGAAGTTTAAAGATAGGAAGTAAACTATTACTAACCAACTTTACAAAATAGCGAGGTATATTCTTTCTCAGGTTAATCCCTCCACGACCGCGGACACGCTGGCGTTACAGTTAACGATAGATTTCTTAGAAATTTAATTATTTCTTAGTAATTTACCTGGAGGTGTTAACGCAAGTATAATATGAATATTTGTGTAATGAAGTCCACCGTAGACTTCTACGTGACAATATTTGCTGTAAAGTATCCGAAAATTTTTAATTGA